ATACTTTGCGCCGGTGCGGATTGTGCAGATATGTTGGCCCATGAACAGCGTCAGTTTCGAAAGTTGACGCCAAATTGGAGGGACTGGCAGGAGAAACCTCAGGCTGCGCACTGAACATCGTGCGCCAACATTCTACAAACACTAGCGCTTTTCGCGATATTCCCACTGCCCGCATTGTCCCTAATCGTCCGCACTGCCTGCACGTTCTGCACCGACGCAAAGTATGAAAGCAGCCTAATAGACACAAAGCAGCGCCCCCTCAACGCCTATGCGCGCGCTATCAGTAGACGCCATTGTCCGCGGGGTGGATTGCCCGACGGAGGCCCGTCGCTCTGCGAAGAGCAGCAGACGAGTCGCAGCGCGTGTTGTGTGATATGGGTTGTACTATGGCACATTCTATTTAACTTCACGCGAAATCACTGCAGTACGCGCTGCGACTCGTTTGCGTCTGCACCTTCTCGCCGACGGGCCTCCTGTCGGGTACCCTCCGCGGGGTTCACGCGCGCTAAACTCAGCGGCATTTGACCAACCATTCGATTGTTTGAACCAAGATCGATCGCCCTTCCGGTCGATCTAAGCAGGGTTGTATTTGGCTCGCTAGTGTAAATGCAGGGAACAGCATTTGAAATTGACATTTCTAAAAGAAGTTGGGGCTCTATACAAGTGGGGTGGGCACGCCCAGCTTTTCACGCATGTCAAGTGCCCTCACCCCCACCCCCTAGATTGGCTACACTCCCCTGGCTCACGAATTCCCCGATTCTCGTGACAGTATAGTAGCGGGCAGCAGTCCCACTTACATACATTTCTGTTCAAAAAATGCGGCGTGCCCACCCTACTTGTATAGCACCGAAGTTGGGAACGGGTAAAGAAGTAGAGGTGGTCAAAAAGCCTTTGAAATGCTTCTGCAACTTTGAAATCACTGAAAGTGCGTGAGCATGAACTAATACGCTCCAGAGCCAGGGTCACAACGTGACAATTGGCCGTTTAATGATTTTTACAGAAAAATAACACATACTCAAACCTATGATTACTATAAGGGTGGAGGGATGTGAGGAATGTGGAAATTTTCGAATTCTGTCGATTTCAACGTTGACCCTGGTCTGGGCACATTCACCTGTCATATCCTCAGATCGTAGCGAGCGGACGAGACGATTGATACGTACCTAATGCTAAATCCCCACTGTCGTCCTATCGCGGAATGTCGCAAGCGTAGGGACAGGCAGTAAACCAGGACTTCCGCGTCTTCTAAGTCGATTCGTCCCACAGAACAATCCTTGTTGCGGTACCCTCCCAATTCTTTAGGAGTCCGCTTACTAGTCATGCATCATATCATCATATCTTTAACAGCGTGAGCAGCGTTCCGAGTGCGATTGCACAGTACCCTCGATTGGTGTTAAACGACCAGGCGAGTAGGTGTGTAAGCGAGTAGGCGATTAGGCGAGTAGGCAATAATACGAGGATACATATCGATTCGTTTGCTCCGCCCACTTAGCGATCGCCTATTAGCCTACTAGCTTACGCCTAATCGATACATGTCCTTTTATTTTCGCCTATGGAGCGTTCATAGTTGGCGATCGTACGTGCGATCAGACGATTATCGTTCGGCGATCCGTCTATGTCATGGAAAATAGACAGTATTGATCTGGGCGTTTAGGAGAGTAGGCCAATGGCAATGAAGGTGACTAACGCGATAGGCGATTAGGCGGTGAACTGCAACGTCTTGATGCATTTGCTCGCGCCCTTGGAGCGTGTAGGTGAGTGGGGCGAGTAGGCGATTAGGCGAGTCCAACCCAATGGCGGAGCCACATCGGTACGTCCCCTCTTTTACGCCTAAGTTCTCGCCTACTCCCTACTCGTTCCGTGTACTTTTCATTTTGAATCATCGCCTAATCGCCAAATTCGCCTAATCGCACTTACGATCGTTAACTATGAACATTCCGTCACTCGCCTTCTAGATTAATCGCATGTATGCACGATCGCCAACTCTAAACGCTGTTTTAGCGACTGCAATCAAGGTGAACAAAATGAGTGCGAAGCGATAATGAGTGAGTGATAAGGTGATGTTTGGCTCAGACATCGACACGCGATGCGATAACAATTTCGGGTGAGGTTCATTTTTCGAGTATCTTCTGCTGATATGGGCGACTTCAAACTGCAGCTCGAACCTTCGGACAAAATCGTCTTCAGCGGTAAAAAACTTGGTGAGGAAGCAGCGCAGGCGAGTATCAAGATCACTAATTCGCTGAAGGAGAGAGTCGCTTACAAGGTAAGCCACGCCAAGTCTTTGACTCTAACCACGTTCACGCTCACACAACATACATCGACTGTATTGCCTTTCTACTAGGTAAAATGCACATCAAACGAAATGTTTCGCATTCGGCCACCTGTTGGAGCTCTAAAACCCGACGATAGTGTCACTGTTTCGGTAAGTATGGCCAAATACTTCAAATATCGAGATCGTTGTCATGAGTGTGGGAGTGGACTGACAGACGTGAAGCAAAGCCTAACGGACGTAGATCACCAGTGTTGGCAAAATGTTTCGGCGTCAGTTTCACGTGTAACAAGGCAAGCTGAGATCCATGGCGAGGTAGTGCGTCTAATGAAGTGTTCATAGTTGGCGATCGTACGTGCGACTGGCGATTAGACGATTAGGCGATCAGTCTATAGTGAAAAATATACGTATGATTAGGCGAGTAGGCGATTAGGCGGTAAGACAACATACGTATTGATTGGTTTGCCCCGCCCATAGAGCGTTGTAGGCGAGTAGGCGAGTAGGCGATTAGGCGATCGCTCAATGGGCGGAGCAACAAATCAATACGTATCCTTCCCTTATCGCCTACTCGCCTACTCGCCTAATCGCCCTAATCGCCTAATCGCATGTACGATCGCCAACTATGAACACTCCATAACAGTTGATCTAGTTGGGCATCACGCCTGATAGAATCTGAGCAGTTGTAGCTTCCACTAGAGCAAGTGCCAGCGCACGGTGAGAGAACGGCTACAACACCGCCTGTTTCGACGATCGCGCTAAGGGCGTGGCGGAGGCGAGCCGTCACGCCGTCGTGCGGACCGGCACTGAAAGAAAGCATTTCGATCCATGATTAAGCCCATACATGCAGTCAATTTTTCACGGCGCTATCGCAATATACAGGGGCATTGTGATGGCAACGCATGTAAAACCGCGTAAAACATGTCTTTTTTGTTAAAAATGGGACTAAGCGTTTGGCGGGGTAAGGAGAGACTCCAAGGTTAGTAAGCCATTTTCATTTTCCCAGGCCGCTCGCACCCTGCTTAGCTCCTGACGCCCCGTCTATTACCATACCCCCCGATTTTCTCTTGGGTTGACTTCACGCATAACTCAGGCCGCGTTCATAATTAGCGACTTGGGAGATTGAGGTAAGGAGGAAAAAGCTACGTATTGACAGAAAATGAGGATAGTAGTAGATTAGGATAGTAGGAGAGTAGGATAGTGCGCTGACGAAGATAAGATTATGTATTGATCAGTTCGTTAATCTACTACTCTCCAGCGATTTCAATCGATACGTATCCAATCTTGTCAGCGCAATCTCCTACTCTACCATATCCTAATATCCCATCGCCTACTATCCTAATCTCCCAAGTCGCGAACTATGAACGCGGCCTAATCTACTACTCTCCAGCGATTTCAATCGATACGTATCCAATCTTGTCAGCGCAATCTCCTACTCTACTTACTATCCTGATATCCTATCGCCTACTATCCCAATCTCCAAGTCGCGAACTATGAACGCGGCCTGAATGAAAATCGCCTGTAGAACTTCATTTTTATTCACGGTAACACTGCCATCCACGTAATTTGTGGTGTGTGGTCTGCACTCGGCGTTCTTCTCGCTTTCCGAAAGGGGGGGGGGTAAATGTATAATCATCACAATGTCTTTTTCTTTGACCTATTTTGATCAACTTTCAACGTTTAAAAATTCAGTTGACTTTCAACGCCGGCAAAAGTGTTCCTGATAGTGGCAAGCACTATTTTGCTGTTTATTATATCAAGGCTCCCGATGAAAAGAAGGTTGGTGTCTTAGCTGTTATGTCTCTTCCAAGACCATCACAACAAAAAGCAAATTCTTCAGGCTCCTAGAGCAACGTGGGCCGATCACAAAGGGGAACCGGAGGGAACAAAACGCCTTTACATAGACTTCAAAAAGGTTTCTTACCCCTCTGGATCCATTGAGTTTCAATGATGATTGAATTGTACGCTTCAGGAGGGTGAAGAGGAGAAAAAAGAGGAAAAGAAGGAAGAGGAGAAGAAGGAGGAAAAGAAGGAGAGGAAAAGAAAGAGGAGAAGAAAGAGGAGGAAAAGAAGGAGGAGAAGAAGGAAGAGAAGAAGGAAGAGGAAAAGAAGGAGGAGAAGAAAGAGAGGAAAAGAAGGAAGAGAAGAAAGATGAGGAGAAAAAAGAAGAAAAGAAAGATGTGAGTACCATTTTGCCATAAGTTGCTTGTATCATAACACTTTCATGCTGACCGACGATGTCTTCTTTTCAGGAGAAGTAATGACGTCACCGATGAAGTTTTGAGTTTGATGGCCGTCATTAAAAATTATATAAATGATGTGCATGAGTAAATTGTTTACGTGGTGCGAATGAAGCGAATACGGCCGACGAATGTTCGATCGGGCATTGTCTGCGGAGTTGGCGTAGAGATGACAAGAGCTCGTCCGGTTTAGACAAAATGATGAATGTCCTTATAATCCAGCCAAAGTTGCGAGCATCTTGAGCAAGATTTACAGTAAAACCATGAAGCGCCGGTCAGTAGGCTCACCTAGGGACGAGCGCGACATCACAGGTAGCTTCTCGCGCTCACAATTGCTATGGACGATATTGCATCCATGTCTAGCCG